TTTTTCATTTTCAGAGAGAGAATTTGATGAGGCTCTTAACAAGCCCAACCCAATTCCACAGGGGCCTCATATGCACAACAAAGCACAAAGCTTGAAAAATTAGTAGTATTTTAGATAAAAATAGACGTCAGACTAATATTTATTCATATATTGCTTAATCTTACAAACACAATATTGATCCTACTTTTTTATGTAAAAAAGTAAAATAATTTACTCAAAATATTCTTCAAATCGTTATGGTATTCATTCTGATTGATTTTTGCCATGAACTTTTTTAGCAAAGCCAAAATCATTTTGATGTTCACCTCATTCGATAAGTTACCTAACAAAACTTGAAACTTTAGTCCATCATGTCATTTTTCGAAATCAAAGCCTTCTAAAAAGAACTCATTAAGAAAAAGAAAAACTTCTAGCTCAATTACTCTTCATAACTATAGATTGATAATTAAAATTTGTAGCTACATTTTATAGGGAGGATAGAGGCGAAAGGGACTGGGAGAGAAGAATTGGAGAGAGGTAAATTATATATGTATATCAGTTAGATAATTGTATATTACACATATGCATTCATATAAGAGATATTGGGAGAAGGAGGAGGGAGGTGAGCGAAAGAGGGCAGAGAGTGGGATAAAGGTGAACTATATAATGTATATCAGTTATATAATCGTATATTATATATATGCATTTGTATATATGACAAGCAAGATTGGGAAAGGGAGCAGAGAAACGAGCAAGATTGGGAGAGAAAGGAGAGAAGTGATCGAGAGGGAGGAGAGAGGCGAACGAGAGAGGAAGAAGAGTGAGAAAGAGGTAAATTGTATATGTATATCGGTTTGATAATTGTAGATTATACATATGTATTCGTATATATGACAAGAGATTTTGGGTGAGAGAGGAGAGAGGCAAACGATATTGAGAGAAAGGTGAGCGAGAGAGGGCAGAAAGTGAGAGAGTTGTGAATTATATATGTATATCGGTTAGATAATTGTATATCATACATATGCATTTGTATATATGGCAAGCGAGATTGGAAGAGGGAAGAGAAAGGTGAGCGAGATTGGGAGAAGGAAAAGAGATATGAATTGTTTATGTATATCAAATAAATAATTGTATATAATACATGTGTATTTGCACATCCTGATCAATTATATATATACAAACGTGACTAAGTATACAAACTCGAAGTCAACCTACATAATTAATATATAATGGTAATCACGAGTGATAAGTATATCAAACTATAGCTATGATGAATAATTATTTAGTATAAATTTACTTAACCGCATAATTTTTCCCTTAAAAAAACTCCGTTGATGACGACTGTCCACTCTCTTTCCAGCCTTACCATCAGCCCAGCCCAATTTCAGAGAGGCCGGCCCTCAGTTTTTATTGGATACAAACACTAAAAGCCCAAATTTGATCTTTTCTAGAAAGTTTCAGGCTTTCAACAATTCTTTGCTTTTTGGTTAACAATGGCTTTAATCAAGAAAATAAGCAAATACTATAAAAAGCAGAACAAATATCAATGGCGTTAATAGCATCATCGAATTTATTCCGTCGGAAATTGCCCATAGTAGGCGCTTTCTGTGTTCTTACTTTTGGTCTTTCTAATCTCTCTGTCCCTTTTACTAATACAGGTTTTGCTCATTCACTTCCCTTTCCCCCTCTTCTGCGGTAATTTTTCATTTCTTTTGTGATTTCTCATCAGAATTTTGAGATTGGTTTGTGGGGTTTTAGAGAAAAATATATCTGGGGTTGGTTTTGTTTTGACATTTTCAGGTCGAAATTAGGTGGTGAAAGACGAAGTACAAGTGTTAGTAGAATAAGAATGGAAGCTAGCAGCAAGATTGTTCCAAGCATTGTTGTTTATGTCACTGTTCCTAACAAAGAATTGGGTTTGTTTTATCTCTTTTTTTTTTAGCTTTGGCATTTGATTTTATTATCTCTGGATGATTTTTTTTTTTTTGTGAATTTTTCAGTAAAATTGTAATCTTGTTGAGGGTTTTAGCTGAATTATGATCTCTGTTTGGACTGTTGAGGTTTGCTTGCACTTGAACTTGATTCATGGTGATCGCTTAGTCTGGGGATCACATATATGTTTTTTCCTTTGCTGGTTCTCTCTGGTTTGCTTTGAGTGTATTCTTAGATAGAAAATTTAGAAGGATAGTTAGGGTGTGTTCGGTAATAAGTGAATTTCTTACTTATTTTCTTGTGTTCTGTATGTAAGCAAAAAGTATTATCCTAAAAGCATTTGTATATGATCTAAGAGAGTGGTGAAGGTGAGGTCCAATGGAGGGTGGGAGGACACGATCAATGTGGAATACTACTTGTGGAACTTGTTTTCCATACTTTTATTAGGGAAGTCATTTTTCTTATTTTTAAGGAAACTAGTTTCCGAGAGAAAATGTTTTCAAATACTTGACCACCCGAACGTGGAAAACTGAAAAATTATTGAACACACCCTTAGAGTAACTTCTTTGGATCCAAGCTCTTTAAATTTGTGAATCTCAGTAATTATCTGAACAAAAAAGGGGAAAATCTGCACTATTCTATTCGGCTTGTATGGAAGTGCCAATAGTCTGAAGCAATATTTATATCTGTCCAAGTGTACTAATTTAAACATGTTATGTAAAGATGGTTCCAGTATAATTTTGCACAAATATCTGATGAATCTTTTTGATTACTTTTATATAATCTCTATGATTTCTGATGCTATTGATGGAACTTTAGCATCATGATCTTGGATTGTGACGAATTTGCAGGTAAGAAACTGTCAGGGAGCATAGTCAAGGAGAAACTTGCAGCATGTGTTAATCGAGTACCAGGCGAGCACAACTCCTTATCAATTCTCTAACTAGACAAAGTAACCTTCATGTTTTTGTCTTGCACTAAACGAATGATCCATCTCTGAAAGTATCTTTACCATAGCAATTCAACTTCAGTTCAACATGTTGCTAATACTGATGTTCTTGGGAAAGTGTGGTTCTCTCTTGTTGTCGTAAATTGAATTAGAAGAGTGCTAATTTCACATCATTTTCTAGTAATACTTTGCGCTTGAACTTAATTGATTCCTTCAAATGTACGTAACCATTAACTTTTTAAGTATTTTGATTCTTTATCACTTGCATTAAGCAATTTGCATATCTGAACTCGAATATATTGCCGTTTCTCTTGTTTACTGCCTGTACTGTTGCGTGCTTTTGACTATACTCTGTTCCAGTGATTGAACCTTATCGAGATCCTGGAAGAATTTTTGGGGTTTGAAGGGATATAAACTGTAGGTTTTGGTAATTGGTACTGATTTCTATAAACCAGCTCTATCCAAGGGCATCTGCACAGTTATGTATTTTGTAAAAGAAAGGCGTATCAACTAGCTTTTTGTTTGTTTCTGTTTGTGACACTGCTTCAATATTTACTAACCTATGTCTGGCAAAACACCCAAAAGTGCATTTTAACTGTGTATGTCTCCCTCAGCATTCCCTTACATATATAGGAGTCTTCTTGGTTGCGGAGTTACTCAAATTGAAGCTAAAATTATTAGATTAGTTGGTCTCCTCAGAAGTCTTGTTCTCTAAGTTAACATGTTACAGTTATGACTAGTACATCAAGAAGCTTGTGGATGTATAAGTGAATTGATATGCTGAATGTATAAGTGAATTTATATGCTGTGTTTGCAGGTGTAGAATCGGTTTACGAGTGGCAAGGAGAGGTAAGTCTCTTCTTAAAAGACTCTTCAACTTTGATTGAATCAACTTTTCTCGGTACACTATCAGTGGCAGGGACAAGAGTTTCACTAAAAGGGTTTAAAATATGAAAAAGTAAACACACAAACAAGTCAAAGGGGATTCAACATCTACTATATATACATAAAAAAATAATCTATCATGTATAAACAGCATAATTTTCCGTTCAAAGAGGTTTGGATGAACCTAATTGGCTCTGCCCCCGTACACTATATGTGTCGGCGTTGTTTTCTAAGAGTAATTTTGCTTTTTGTTTTTTTTGTTAACAGATACAGACCGATTCTGAAGAGCTGCTTATAATCAAGACCAGGGAATCCCTTTTAGAAGCTCTTACGGAGCACGTGAAGGCCAACCATGAATATGAGTAAGTCCTTGCATCTTTGCTTCTTTTTTTTTCCTTCTTCCAATTATAAGACATCAAGTTGCTTCTAAGTTTTTAACTTGTCATTTAATGTTCGACCATCTTATTTTCTGCAAAAGTTAGACAAACCTGGCATAGATCATCCTTTTGAAATCTGTTTCCAATGTTAAAAGTGGTTTTATGAGGAAGACAGATTTTTCGTGAACAGTTATGTGTTTGTGATGAGAATGATCCCACATTCAGACCGCAATGATCCCACTTCACTTTCTACCAGTCCGTGAGCCTGTGGTTTCTAAACATTCATGCTTGGTCTTAGGCGTGGAGAGAGTGCATGGATTATTTTGATCCTTGTCTTGGTTGTTTTTTGCAGTGTTCCTGAAGTGATTGCCATGCCCATAGTTGGTGGCAGTCCACAGTACCTAGAATGGCTCAAGAACAGCACAAGGGATGAATGATTTAGACCAAGACAAGCTTGTTCAACCTTGAGCCTGTAACTTAGTAAGAGTCGAACACAAACGTCTATGTTATTTGGTATTTTCAAAGTACTTGTTACTTAAACGGTGTTGTTAGTCTTGGCTCTTGGTCTGAGTTACTATAATCTATCCCTAAATAGTATCTTTATCTTACATTCATGGGTGATTTTGGGCATTGTCCTTTGTATACATGGTGACAGAATGAGACCTTCAAAAAAGTTGTACCCTTGCTTTCGAGTGGATTATGATTGAATAATTAACATTCAGGAGTTTGCATCTATGTTGAATTAACATATTCATGAGACTTCCTGGACAAAATCATTAAGTCGAAATGGGAAATAAGATTTGTTGAAGTTTGATAGTAATTTAATACTAAAATTCACCATTCTCAATTGGGTGAGCCATCAACAGTTTACAATAGCACCATTCACAAAAGATTTGTATCCCATTTTCATGATGATACCTTTTGAAACATCATTCTCAAAGACACAAGCATTAATTTAAGTTTTTTCTAATACACAGTACATAAGAGATAAATAATCTAACAACTAGATTTCCAAGTACCAAACCACCACAAGTCAAATTATCAAACATAACATAGGTCAACCGAAGCTGTCTTTTCTTATACAATAAGTCAGCACAACAAAGCAAACAACATTTATAGCCCATTCCTAAATAGAGACCATGCCAATCAAGATTCATCCAACTGATCCTGCATTAAGCACATGACAACAATTAAAGAAAGTTTCACAAGTAATAACATCAAGTTTCAGAGCAAGTACGTCTGTGCAACCTTCAACAGAAGCACCTACCTGAGCATCTGAGGTCCAAAGTGTGAGATTGTCTCGTAGGAGTTGCATTATGAGGGTGCTATCCTTGTATGATTCTTCACCTAAAGTGTCCAGCTCAGCTATCGCTTCCTCAAATGCCTAAACAAGTAGACAAAAAAAAAATCATCCCAAATGCAAAGATATGGATCGCTCTTAAAGATCAACTGGCATGCGAAAGCATAATATAGATACCATAGAGACTGATGGCAAAACCTAAATGCTTGATCTGCAGGTTACCTTCAATTTGAAGAGGAGTAAATACAAGGCTCAAGGTTCGTAACCAACTAGCACTTGTTAACCTTGACTATAAATCAGTTTTATAGCCAAAACTAAATGGATAGGTAGGATTGTCGTCATTTCTAACTTCACCAACAATTTTACAGTACACTAACTTCTTGACTTAGACTATGCAAACTTTAGAAGAAGAATATACGCGCACCGACGCAGATCATTTCTGCATTTGCTTTTATATAACTTATCCTACTGTCATCTCTCTTATAATTAAGTTGTCAACCCACTTCCTCTAAATCACTTGGATTTCAGCTGTCTCCAACTTAACCTCTCTCATCCTATCCATCCATTTCCCACTCATTAATTCTCCCTTCTCTAATAAGTCAGATCACTTTCTTCTCCCTGAGTCACCACTCTATTGGCCTTGCATTCTACATATTTCACTGCATCTCACCATTGATATTCAGTTACCCTTCCCTGACTTTATTCAATGGCTCTTTTATTAGTCAAAGCTAAACAACAGTTCAGCCTGCTCAGAACATATAAAACTGCAAAGGAAGCATACTACCATAAACACTAAATTTTACCTGTTTTGCCATACTGCAAGCTTTGTCAGATGAGTTAAGTATCTCAAAGTAAAAGACAGAGAAGTTGAGTGCAAGACCAAGCCTTATGGGATGTGTTGGAGGCAGATCTGTCAGTGCAATTTCCTTCAATGACAACAAAGGCAGGGAAACAGAATCAGTGAAACTCAATTTTCCAACTATGTGATGGAAATCAGTATACAAAATGAAATGCGCAGATATGAACAACCGTAGAACAGATACTCACAAACCAGACTAAATAATTTCAAAATAAAGGGAGCGAAAACAGAGAGAACTAAAAAGTCCAGGGAGCAATCATCCTAACGTCCTAACAGTGTCCAAAATGCGCAGCACTATTAAAAAGCCCTTGAATGTGAAGTTAATTTTGTGAGTCATACACCCAACCCGAGTAAAAACAAACTGCTCCTTGAGTGTTCCTAAATACATAAATGACACAACTATAGCTAAATTGGGTGTAAGCCTTATTAATGCACACATCCTTGGATATTTACAAACACTGATCACTTTACAACCAATCTTCTAACTAAACACAACAAGGACTTCTTCGTCATTTCAGTTCAATCTTTAATTTCAAAAAAACATCAAAGCAATTTGGTGTTGAAAAACCCTTCTTGGATGGAGTTCATCTGTTACAGATATGAAGCATCATAATAAACACTGCTTAGCAACAACAGAGTAAGGCTACAGTGTTATCTGTACTTGTACCAATTATTTCCTCTATAAAGATAATACATTTACACAACATATTAGAAAAATATGTGTTGAGAAGACAAATTGTAGCAGAAAAATCAACATTATATGCTAATGCAAGATTCTCCATCACAATCTCAATGAAAGAACTAATTCCAGGTTGCAATGGCTAAAACTGTATTTATATTGAAATCTAGCTACAGTATCAAGATGCTTTGTCCCCATCTCAACACAAATCCTGCTATCACAACAAATAACTAGGAAGACCTAGATGCAGTTTAGCCCAGAGGCCCAATGTCATATCATCTTTAACCTGTAGCTAAGCAATTCGTTTCTTACAATTTAAATCACAATAGAAAGAAAAGCTATAATGGAACAGAAAAGATCAAACTGGATTGAACAATCCCCGCTAGTTTATTTTTATTAGCACCAACCTACACAACATTTTCAAAGCAAATATATAAAATTCAGATCAGTCTCTACATTTACATCGAAATGATCTACAGTTACAGTTACTACATTAATTTCAGATCTCAATGAAAATCCTACTAGCAAAACAAGTTAATAAGAAAACCGAACAGTAATAAGCCCTAATCTGAAAAGTAAAAAGCACAAACAAAAATCAAACTCAAAACCTAGAAGATACCGCAAAATAGGAAAAAATAGTCAACTCAAACAGTACCTGAGCAGCCTTATAAGAATTCATAGTGTCTTCAGCAGCCTGCTTCCTCTCATCACCAATCTTAAACTCAGCAAGATACCGGTAATAATCACCTTTCATCTTAAGGTAAAACACCTTCGATTCACTGGTAGTAGCAGAGGGAACAAGATTTGACTCAAGCAACTTGAGTATACCAGCACAAACCTGCGAAAGTTCATTCTCGACTTTACCTCTATACTCCTTAACAAGATGCACATGTTCTTCGTTCTTCCGCGATTCCTCCTTCTGTTCAATAGAGGAAACAATACGCCAGGCAGCACGAAGAGATCCGATCACGTTTTTGTAAGCGACAGAGAGGAGATTCCGTTCCTCAACAGTGAGTTCGCCGGCCGGCGTGGAGTTGAGAACCAGTTTGTCCATGAACTGAACCATTTCTTCATAGCGCTCGGCTTGTTCAGCGAGTTTTGCTAAGTAAAGACACTGTTCACGGCTGAGATTTTCAGGGATTAGAGCCGCCATGGATGAAGTAGAGAGAAAATTTAGGCGAATGAGAAATCGATTCTTCTCAACACTGTATGTGTGAAGTGAGAAAAAGAGAGAGAAGGGACTTTTATGTGTTTTTTTTTGCCCTTTTTCTTCGGTTTCCATATACACGTGGAGTCAAACACACTTTTCTTTCTCTTTCTCCGAAATTTTAGATTCGAATATAAAATCTCTTGTAAATTTAAAGATGAAATGATATAAATTTAATATTATTATATCTAATAATAATCGAACTAAAAGAATATTAATAGAAGTGGACTATTACTCGATATCAATTTTTTCATAAATCGATAAAAATATCTTTAGCTTAGGTGGATTTTCATTATCGATAATTATATTAATCATAATTTCATAATAATTCAATGTATCTTGATTTAGATTCATGTAACGAATTAGAATTATATATTTTCAACTAAAATGTCACTATCTTTTATGAGTGATAACTATAGAAAAAGACTCAGCAATTTAGAATTTTTAGTTGTAGTCCAAATCAAATGAAGGTTGATGTTGTGTAGATTATGATTGTATCGAGTAATAGTTTTTTTAATTATAGATTTTTTAATAATGAAAGCATTTTTAGAAAAAGTAAAACAATGAATTTTAATTTTTTTTTGATCTAGATATAGATTTTTAAAAAATAATTTTATTAAAATACATACCCGACATAAAAAGAAAATGGATGAAATCCATTACAAACTTGAAAAGTCGAATATTGATATTCAATAACAAGAGGAATAATGTGAGAATTTGAATTACGAGACATAGTTTGAGAGTAATAAATATATAAAGCTCTAGTTTTAAATTATTTTTAATGAAATATATCTAAATTGAATCTCATATAAAATTATAAAATAACATATTAATATACAACAATCTTAAAATATAAAATGAATTAATACATATAATAAGAATATTTACCTAGTTAAATAATTTTCTCTTCAACTCATTTAAATTCAACTCAATCATTTTTCAAAGATAAATTCAACTTTACAATTGCAAACAAAAAACCCTGAGCCTCCTCGTCGACAAAAATCTCATCACTGAATCCCTCTACCGGTTCTTGTCCATTTCTGCAAATTTGGCGAATTGACTTGTTAAATCTACTACTGAGTTTACCCTTTTCTTGAATAGGGGTGAAAAAGAGGGATCTTGGACTGTAAGCTCCATCGTTCATTAACTGGTAAACAATTTAACAGTAGTATGTTGTAGTGATTTCTCTGATTTTGCTCTAAATTTTTTTTCCAAGTATTCAAAATTAGTTTTAGGATTTTGGGTTTTCAGTCTAGCTCCGATGGGTATGTTAGTTTTTGTGCCATATTGTTATTTGTTGTGTTAGTGGTTGCTACTTGATGTTGCGTGGATTTTCTGACTTGCTTTGCTGTAGGGTTTTCGAAAAGTAGTGGTAGAGTAACCCACTTGTGAGATTACAGTGTGTATGTTGTTGGTTTGGATTGTGAAAAGATGCGTCTTTTTCAAGTGAATGACTGATGCTTTAATCTAAATAGTTGATATGGTCGAGTTGAAATATGCAACACTTACGCAATGTCATATGCCATTCCATTTTCTAGATTCATTGTAGCGAGAAAATCTCCCTAGGAATGGTAATGTTTGTGTACACTCTACCCTTTTCAGACCCAGTTGTGGGATTACACCGGGTATATTATTGTTGGTTTGGGTTGTGAAAAAATGTGTCTTTTTTCAAGTGAATGACTGATTCTTTAATCTGAATAGTTGATATGGTCTAGTTGAGGTCTGCAACACTTGCACAATATCATACACCATTCCATTTTCTAGATTCATTAGAAGTGAGAAAATGAAACTAGGGAAAGAGTGGGGATGGTTTATCTTACATGAAAAAAAGGGTATGTTCAAGACTTATGTCCTATTTTGGATAAATGAGCTTTAAAAGTGGATTCTCCCGTGAATTTAGTAAAAATTGTTGATTGTGCTGGTGTTAACTGAAAAATATAGTTACGTGGATGCAAAGTGTTGTGATAGGCCAAAATTTTGAGGGGGTAAAGAAAAGTCTTGAGCCGATTGTGCTTATTCTCATGTATGTATGAGAGTTGGGATGGAGTATAACCTTTTTTTTCTCTACTCTAACAGCTGCATGTAATCTTCTGGCGGAATTCGAGTCACGGATCCTGCAGTCTTGTTAACTTGGATGAAAGCTATTGGGCACACGAAATGCAGTCTCTGTTCTTCATCTAGGTTATTTTCATCTTCAGTTCAATGGATTTCTCCTCTGGATTACCAGGGCAGGAATTCCCTGAGGCCAGGTGCTCCTATCGAGAGAGATGGCACTTCAGAACAAGTGCCAAGAAAACGCAAGTATATATCTCATGAATCTGCAGTCAATTTGATAAAACAAGAGAAGGATGCACGCCGTGCCCTGGAGATCTTTAACAAGGTTTCTGATCAGAAGGGTTTCAATCACAATAACTCCACCTATGCTGTTCTTCTCCATAGACTAGCTGTTTGCAAGAAATTCGAAACAGTTGAGGCTATTATTCATCAGATGAAATATGAAACTTGCAAGTTTCATGAAGGCGTATTTACTAATCTCATGAAGCATTACTCCAGATCCTCTCTCCATGAAAAGGTTCTAGAGATGTTTGATGCAATCTTGCCTATTGTTCGAGAAAAGCCTTCGCTCAATGCCATTAGCACATGTCTGAATCTGCTTGTTGAAGCAAAACAGATTGAACTGGCGAAGGAATTTCTCTTAAACGTGCAGAAGCATCTATATTTGAAGCCCAATACATGCATTTTCAATATCCTGGTCAAGTATCATTGCAAAAAAGGGGATGTTGACGCTGCATTTGTAGTAGTAGAAGAGATGAGGAAGTCCAGAGTTTCTCATCCTAACTTGATTACTTACAGCACCCTCATGGATGGCTTATGCCGATGTGGAAGGCTTCAAGATGCACTTGACCTTTTTGAGAAAATGCTTGCTAAGGATCAGATTCCGCCAGATGCATTGACTTACAATATCTTAATAAATGCATTTTGTCGTGCAGGAAAGGTGGATAGAGCTAGGAACATAATAGGATTCATGAGGAAAAATGGATGTCAACCAAATATAGTTAATTACACAGCTTTGATGAATGGATTTTGTAAAGAAGGAAGAGTTGAAGATGCCAAGGAGGTATTTCATGAGATGAAGGGAGTAGGCCTAAAACCAGATGTAGTAGGATATACAACATTAATCAATTCCTTCTGTAGGGCTGGTAAGGTTGACGAAGGCATCGAGTTACTTGATGAAATGAAGGATAAAGGGTGTAAAGCTGATGATGTGACAATAAAAATCATACTCGGGGGATTGTGCAGAGCCTCTAGATCAAGTGAAGCTTTCAATATGCTTGAGAGGTTACCTTATGATGGTGTCCATCTAAGTAAAGAAAGTTACAGGATTGTGTTAAATTTCTTGTGTAAAGAAGGTGAGCTAGTAAAGGCGATGGACTTGTTGGGTTTGATGTTGGCTAGACGATTTGTGCCCCATTTTGCTACGTCTAATGAACTGATAGTTCAACTATGCGAGGCTGGAAAGGCAGCTGATGCAGCTTTGGCATTGTTTGGGCTGTTAGAGATGGGGTTTAAGCCAGAGCCTCAGACATGGAGTATGTTGATTGATGTGATATGCAGGGAAAGAAAGTTGTTGCCTGCATTTCAATTACTTGATGAGTTGGTTCTGCAATAGTTACTACTCACATGTGTTGTGATTTTAGGCATTTTGTATTCTTCTTCAGTGACTTTTTTTTTTATAAAGAAGATAGTTGAATATGCCAATTTCGGCGTCATTAGCTTGCAGCAGACATCAACATATGCTCAATGGAACTTTAATCTGCATCTGCTATGCATTTTACCAGAAAAAGGGTAGCAGTTTGCATTTGAATGAGCTCAGGAGCTATGCAATAACTCAAATCAACTAACACATAGCTGAAATAGTTCACAATCTTTATATCCGACTGCTGAAGATGGTTGATAGAGAGCTCAACAAAATACCCTGATAAGATAAAAGATTCAACAATAATTTGATAGAAAATGTGTGCACAACCACAACCGCATTTCATTCTCAACCATGATTTAAGATCAACATAAAAATCCATGGATATTCTCGAAAGAAATCTATGTGAACGAGAGCCACCAGTTCTTCAGTCGATACACCTCCCAAAAAGAGAAGAGGATAGAATAGAAGAAACAAGGTTTCTTATAAACAGTACTCTAAAATGAGGTTTGTGAATAGGGCAGTACATGTGCAAAGATAGTACAATAGCCTAATTGATGTCAACTACAGATCCAGCTTTTGTGCATTCCAACTCCTGTAATATGTGGTGGTGCCAGTAGGATCGCAAGATATACTACAACGAGAGGGTGTGTCTTCGTTTTTTACCATATTGAGTGCTTCATACCAAGACCGTTACACGTTAGAATAAGACCCTTGTAGCGATTAAGGTATTCCTGCAATCAAACGTCAGAGCAGTGTTAAGAAAGAAGACCTGGTTACCTAAACTAACCATGAAGAAATTGGGAGGAAACTTACGACGATATTGTAATCATAGGCTCGTAGCATCCCTTTGTTGTCATATTCTTGTCGTTTCACAGGATCACTCAGAACTGCTTTGACGCAATTGGAAAGTTAGCATATAGAGAAACACAACAAATGCCCTTAATTTTAATGAGAAACAGACACATACAAAGGTGAACGTAAGAGTGGGATTTGAAAATCTAAGACATGTAAAAAGTTGGTGAACATGTCACTGTAGTCTGCATTATCACATTGTCCGACAAGGCAGCTTATATACAACTGTTGTCAAGTGATAAAACCAAAGCGCAACTTTTTTTTGTGTTGTGGAACTTCATATATGCCATAAATTTTATCTACCTTGGGAAGTCAATGATGTCAAGGAGGATAACTCTCCAAAAGTAAGGAGGACTTTAAGTAACACCTATATAATTCAAATTTAGGTTCGGAATTCATAGTAACTATTACTACAAATGGCATCAAGCTTAAAATTACTCTCTCTCTCCCATTCACCCACATACCATAGCAGATAGTATTAAAACCACTGTCAAAAGAAAGTTCCGAGGAATTAGTATCCTTGCACAATCCACTTAAAAATACATACTTCACACACTAAGAGATAATTGCATATGTTCATCTCCTCAAGTTGTGTGTAGACTCTGTAAGACTACCAAATACAAGCTCTAAAGCATCAGTCTATTTATCTCGCTATATCACTAACTTCTTACATCATTTTAGATTGGATTGTTTTTTTTCCCACAATGACAATATGCAACAAGATAGGCAGCTCAGGAAATAAAGACACCTCTTACAAACGCACCCAAACAGTTTATACCAGTCATAACTTGGATAATTAGGTTGCATTAAATTTTTCATTTACGATTAACTAGAAAGATCATGATGAGAGTCCTCTTCTGATATATTCTAAGTTTGTCTAACAAACAATAATTGAAGTCTCATTTAGTGAACTTGTAATTCCTAGATCAGTTGGTTAACACAGAAAGCATAGCCAAGTCTAGCCCCACCTAAAATGAGGAGGTTAAAATACATTGACACCTATACTAAATACAGGCAACCTTCGGAATATTGAATGACAGAATTCCTAATTCAAATGGAAATGTACAATGATTTGGGAGATAAGATTTTCGTTTTCTTATTAAACGGAATGGATTCACATATCATTTTACAAAACTCCAACTAGTTTGAAACTGTGACGCAGTTGAGTTGAGTTCAGTTGTAAATTCTCAAAAACACGGCCAATGAGAAACATTAGTCTTCACAAGCTTGTTATGACATAAATGGACCTTCAGAATTTTACTTACAAAAATTGCTGAAATTTTCTCTCTCACTATTCTAAACTTTTATGATTAGTTGGCAAATGCAGATTCAAGTGTTTGGAAAACCGAATGTTATTCACCCTCTACTGGACTATTCTAGAATCTAGGAGTTCAACTTTAGCACACAATTTTGTCTTTATAGAAAATATTCATTTACCTGAAGTCTGAACAAACAAATTCATCTCAGAGACTAAAAAAACTCACCAAATTAATTTTTTTTTTCCTAAGTTCAACAGAACTGATCTTCTTATATTCTAATACCTATAATTTGGCTTTAAGTATATGATATTTGGCATATAAACAGGAACGTCTCGATACTGACTGTACAATTGATGGAATAGCAGCGATCTTGCCTGAATCTAGATGGGAAACAAGTGTTTGATTCTCAAGTTACTCAATCAATCATGTTACTAGCAGTAGACATATGTTATTAAACAAACTCACTCCAACAAAACCCAGATATGAACTAAATCTTCACTGATTGCAGGTTGACCCCACTGTATAAATCATCTTTGATTTGTAAAAGGCTTAGGAAATAGCCAGTTAAGAATCAAATAAATGATTACAGCTTTGAAAAAGAACTAACCTTGGTACGCCTCATTTATTTCCTGAAACTTTGAGGTAGAACTATCCTGATCTTTTTGCTTATCCGGATGCCATTTCTGTTCCCAAAACAAAAATTATAAAACAATGGTCGAACTAAGAAAATGAGATATACACACCTCATAGATCAGATACGATGACATGTATAACACTCACAAAGGTGGAAAAATCATAAACCAGGTATAAAGGAATTGGTTTAGCATGGATAGAATGAAAACTAACCAACGCAAGACGGATAAAATTGGATCGAATGACCTCCTCCGTGGCATCATAATCCACTTCCAGTATTCTATAGTAATCCTACATTCAAGAAATGCCAAACCACAAGTCACGACTGCAACTTCACACAACATCCCAACAAATAAACCCAAAATTCCCTTCCAGTATCCTAAAATAACCTACATACACATTTGAGGAACACAAAAACCCAAATTTGACACAAGTTTCTATAGCAAAAACCAAAACCCACAACCAGAATCCTACAACAATCCTACAAATAACACAAATAGTCAAGAAATGCAAAACCCACCAATAAAAAACCCAAACTTGACAACTAATTTCTAAAATGAAACCAAAACCCATGACCAAAATCCTATAGTAATCCTACAAATAACACAAATAGTCAAGAAATGCAAACCCCACCAACCAAAAACCCAAACTTGACACAAATATCTAAACCAAAACCCACAACCAGAATCCTACAATCCTCCTAGACATAACACAAAAAGTGAAGAAATACAAACCCAACCAATCAAAAACCCAAACTTGACACAAATTTCTAAAACAAAACCAAAACCCAAAACCATAATCCTATAATAATCCTACATATAACACAAACAGTCAAGAAATGCAAACTCCACCAATCAAAAACCAAACTCTAAAACAAAACCAAAATCCACCACCACTATCCTGTAATAATCCTACACATAACACAAAACAGTCAAGAAATGCAAACCCCACCAATCAAAATACAAACTTTACACAAATTTCAACCAAGAAAAACCAAAATCCTCAGATAAAAGTACCTTGGGTTTAGACAACACTGACAAGAAATCAAATTTAAGATAAGAATCATCTTCTTCTTGCTGCTGCTGCTGTTCTTCCTCATATTCTTGTCCAAAATCATTGCCCCACTCGTCCCACATCATCTTTTCTTTTCAAAAAAATAGTTTCAGCACTGCAAATAATAAAAAAAAAAAAAAACCACAAAGGATTTATCTGATTCCTTTTACCAGAGCCGACAGAAAAAAAAAATTGTTGGAAAAAAATCAATACATATGATAAAAATTTAGTTTTTTCTTTTTTGAAGTTTTATCTTAGATAAAAAAATAATAAAATGCATGTCTAGATACCCGCTAATATGAGATAATTTTATCTAATCCGAAGAGGCAACTGACAATCCCACAAGAAGAGGCAGACCCAAAAAAAAAAAAAGATAAAATTGAACAAAAATTAGGAAAAATCGATTAATTTGGAACACTTTTTCAATTTTCAAAATCCTCTGGGGCTATTTTTGCACTTTTGTTTGGATTGTTTCCTTGTTTTTAAATTTTTTTAATTATTATTATCTAGTCAGAATAATTATTTTTTTAATTTATACTATATATTTATAATTTCTTTTCATAATATTCACAAGTTATATTATTATCTTGGCCAAATACATAAACAGATCTCTAAATTTGTTGGATTTTTTTTCTCGGATATCTCAACTATGAACTATGTCATTTTTCTATTGAATCATTGAACCACCTATAATTTGTTCCTTTAAAACATTGTTGGTTGATTTTAATCGGCTTTTCTATTGTAAATGCCTTCAACTGTGTTCGAATTGTAATAATTTTGATTGAAGGAATGAAGACAAACCGTATTAGTCTCATTTGTTTTCTAATGACTTAAGTAAAACACAATTATTCTCAAACATTTTCACTATCAATTGGACTAATGAGTTGTGGAACAACATATGTATCCTCTATGAATATCCTTCATAAATCTGGTTCAACATTAGACAACGATGTTTGTTTAAACGGAACAAATTATGAAGATTCAATGATTCAATAGGAAAATGACGTAGTTGAAATACCTGAGGAAAAAACCCAACAAGTTTAAGGATCTGCTTATGTATTTGGCCTATTATCTTTAAATAAATTTAAATTAAGAGTAAAAGCATATAGAAATTGAATTTAGATTAGATGAGGGCTGGGCTTATAAATTTATTAACTATTAGCATAACTCATACATTACTGACGGTTTTTCGGACCTTAACTTTGGACATTTAATATCTAAAATATTTCTTATTTTATTCAAATACTAATTAAAAAAATATTTCACTTAAAACCATTTGAAATAACTATTAGCATAACTCATACATTACAGACGGTTTTTCGGACCTTAACTTTGGACATTTAATACCTAAAATATTTCTTATTTTATTCAAATACTATTAAAAAAAATATTTTCACTTAAAACCATTTGAAATAATTTTAATGGTGTGACATGGAGTTCGAAATTGTGAAATTATGTATGTCAATTATAGGACTTTTGAAGTTGAAATCATGACAATCAAACTTAAATAAAATGAATCATCACAAATATATTTATTTATTTCAACAATAAATCGAGACTTCAAAGCTTTTCTAGAAATATAATGAAATTTGTTGATGTTAATAATAAATCAAGTATTTTTTTTAAAGAAAAAATTAACTTAAATAATACGTATAGATTCAAGACTATGAGGTATAATTCCTACATAAAAAAAAAAGGTGAAAACAATTCAATGGTTAAAATTTGATTATCTTAAAGAACCATAAATATATAATTTAATTTAATATAATTGACAATGCAGTAGTATTATATATACGAGCTCTAAAAATATTATTATTTTTAATTATGAAACCATTGAGTTGATTAACGATATATATAATGAATTAGCATGATTTTCTTTTAAGAAATGTATTTAAATTTAACAAAAGGAGTAGGTGACATTCAATTATTTCTTCTTCTTTGTACATTCATTTCTGGTTGGAATAAAACAAAAAGAATATGTAAACGTTAATAAAAGAGAAAAAAAAATAACACTATAATAATAATTATATACTCAGGATAATCGATGAGAAATGAGAGATTGTTATCGATAGATTCTCAATTTTAAAAAAACAAAAGTTTTGAAAAGAAATACGAAAGTGAAGAAGTTATGACAAAATATTAAAAATTAACATGATACAACTACAACAAAATAATATAATAATAATCGAAGTATCTTAATTTGTATTCTCCATAACCTCTCATCTAGTAATTAACATTAGCTATCTTGGGAATCATGGAAAACAAATAATACTACTACTTTTTTATCCGAAAAGCCCGACATGAGATGCATCTTAAGGTGATTCCGTACTAAGGGAATTCAACTCGAGATCTCTTAATTAAGGATGAAAGAGTATTTATAACTCCACCGCAAATCCTTATTAGTAAATACTAGGTCCACGTAAAGAACTACAACCATAGAAAGAGAAGAAAAAGTTGATTTTTGTCATAACAAATCAAGTAAATAAAGTGATACTATTGAAGTTGAATTGAAATGGAAGCACAAGTTGATCTCATTACTACTTGGACTATGACAAGGTAGAACAATTTGAATGGTTGCAAACACATCCAAATCAGGTGGCCCATAATGCAACAGAATTGAAGCAAATGTTCCTCAATCAAAAGTGACAACATTTGCCAAAATCACATATGAAGAGAAGAGGATTAATTGCACATCTCGTGTTAGTTGTTACTTATTGTATACATCGAAGGATATCAACAACAATAACATACTCAGCATAGTCTCGTAGATAGGATTTGTGGGGAGGTAAGATGTATCACCTTTCTCCTACTTGTGTTGAATATAAAGGTTGTTTACGATAGCAAAATAGAGTTGCAAAAAAAGAGAACAAAGATTCAAAGGAAATGAAGCAAGGAATAGTCAAAACTTGAAGAAACAAATTCTAAACACCACTACTAATAAGGTTGTGAGGAGATGGGAAAAGACGCCAAAATTAACTACCTACTAACCTTCTACCCTAATCCTCGATCTCTACACCCTTTAAACTTGGGGTCATTTCCTTAGGAAGCTAAATGTATATCATATAGTGTATAATCACCTTGTCCTAAATCATCTTCTGCCTATCTCTACCTCTCTTAAATTTCTCCTACAAGTCTACGACCAACCTCTCACACCTTATGGCATGTCCGCTCACATCCTCTTTGCATGCCTGAATCATTTCAGCTTGACATTCCTGGTATCGTCCACCATATAGGTCACTCGTACATTGTCTTGTATAACTTCAGTCCTGATCATATCTCTCCCAGTATGTCCACACATCTATCTAAGCATCCTCTCTCTACACCAACACACAATATTGGTCCAAACACCATACTAGAACTATCAAATATGAGGTGTGAAATATGTCCAAAATGCCTATTAAAAGATACATGATATTTATAGAAGTTAAAAGAATCGATCGAATCAAAACAATGTAAAAGAAGAATATCCAAGAAGCTGACCCATGTCCTTGGACTACCACAAAATAGCACACCAATACCTCCAAAAAAACAAAATCATCACCAACCAATCTCAGCCTGTAAATTGACACCAACCCCATATCAACTTCTTGTTTTACACTTTGAAATATTTAATACTGTCACATACAATGCCCTGTATACAAAAAGTAGTAGTAGTAAAATATCAACCAACAATGACCATCACAGCACTAGTTTAGTATACAAAGGAACCCCCTTTACCTTCCAAAAGCCAAATAAACCAAAAGGGACTTTGTTTTTTTCAACTATGGCTTCTTGATCTCTCTTTCTCCTTGTTTATATCGCTTCTTAATTTGCTTTTACAGCTCTTTTTTTAATTGGGTGTGTGGAATTAATGGCTTCTTCTTCTCTATCTAGCATCTATTCACCTTCTTCATCTTTCAAATCTGAAGTGAAATCCATTCACAAAATCACTTCTTCCCAATTGGGTTCAATTTATTTGCCCAATAAATCAAGATTCCATGTTCACGCGGTGGCGCGTGAGGTTTCAGCGAGCTTGTCGGCCGGAAACAATGACGTGGTACATAAGTTGAAGAAGGAGAATGTTGGGTTGGAGAAAAACCCGAATGCTCTATGGAAGAGATATGTTGAGTGGCTTTATCAGCACAAGGAGTTGGGTTTGTATTTGGATATCAGTCGGGTTGGATTCAGTGATGGGTTTCTTGAGGAAATGGAGCCTCGTTTGCAGAAGGCGTTTAAGGATATGGTGGATTTGGAGAAGGGGGCTATTGCAAACCCTGATGAGGGTAGAATGGTGGGTCACTATTGGTTGAGAAGTCCTCATCTTGCTCCCAACTCATTTCTCAGGTTGCAGATTGAGAATACTCTTGAAGCTGTGTGTGAGTTTGCAAATGATGTCGTCAGTGGTAAGGTCTGTTGGTGTCAACTCTGCTCTCTGAGTTTCAGCTAAAAGTCCATCCTTTCATTTGCCTTTTTTGTGCTGCATTAAGAACCCCTAATTTGTGTTTAGAGCACTTGTAAAGCTGATTTTGCAATTGAGGTGTAGTTGATTGCCTTTTGGTTGGCTCGAATAATCTTAAGCTATAAAAATCTTAACTTTGGCCATTTTCTAATGATCTCTATTTGTTTTTGATCAACCAGGAGGCATTTCAAGTTGATATAGTTAAAAATTTGTATGATACGAGTAATGTAGTTTCAGTGATTATTTGGGAATGGAAATAGTAAGTAGTAATAAGCTTATAAGGAGCTTTTGACTTTAGAGTTGTACTATACTTTATGTTTCTAACTTCTAAAAAATTTAAGCCTCAACATCTGAAAGCATATTTTGGCTCCTTTGATTGGTTACGGGTTGTTGTATCCCAAAGCCTGATCAACTTATTGTGAATTACAACATCTACTTTGCAGGTTAAGACTCCTTCTGGAGGCCGATTTACGCAAATTCTCTCTGTTGGAATTGGTGGTTCAGCTCTTGGACCACAATTTGTGGCTGAGGCATTGGCACCTGACAACCCTCCTCTGAAGGTAAGTGGCAGTTGTGTTCAAATATTAGTGCTTGTTATGTTTTGAAATTTCTGGGGTAACTCACTCTTTTATTAGTAAAGTATTAAGCTGTTTTACCAAATTTCCTCAACTTCAAATCATGTGAGAAGAAAAGAGGAATATATCTTCTTAGTCAGTTTCCTATATCGAGCATATTTTGTCAACATGTTGTGAATACCTATATCATAAAGTTTCCAGTATGTCGCCATCTTATGTGCACCTTTGCTTAAACTGGTGCTGCACAACATCAAACCGAATGCAAGTGACTTGACTTAATCCTATCCCTTATTTTTGCATCTGTAGTGATCATGATGATATTGTTCTCTTATTTGGAAAGCACTAAAGGAGGTTCTCCACTGAACGGTCTTCCTCTCAT